GTTGGTTATGTCGCCTGTCTTGACCCCGATGGCGAAACCGACGTTGCTTTGCCATGCTTCACTCCAAGATCCTACAATCCTGGTAATGTCAGAGATGTTGTAAAGTTCCTTTCAGGAGCGAGTGAACAGTGTGGAAGCCCACAAGGATGGATCATCCTGGTCTGAAGAGAATAGGTGGGGTTAGGGTTAGAGCTACTGCCAGGAGTGTCCAGAGGATCGGGTCGACGATCAGCACTCATCGGAAAGATGTCTCATATACAATCAGACTGCTGTTTGTACCATTGGATATCTGCGCTTGCTGCTCAAGATGGGGACGGATCGCCTATTTTAATGTCCCCGAGTGCTGTAATGTCGATTCCTATTAAACGGCCCAGATTCACGACTGTCTGCCAGTCTAGTCGAGGGATGTCTGCTGTGTCTGTGTATCTTCCCAGTCTAGTCGAGAGTTATCTGCTGTGTCTATGTATCTTCCCAGTCTAGTGGAAAGATATCTGCTGTGTCTATGTATCTTCCCAGTCTAGTGGAAAGTTATCTGCTGTGTCTATGTATCTTCCCAGTCTAGTGGAAAGATATCTGCTGTGTCTATGTATCTTCCCAGTCTAGTGGAAAGTTATCTGCTGTGTCTATGTGTCTTCCCAGTCTAGTGGAAAGTTATCTGCTGTGTCTATGTATCTTCCCAGTCTAGTGGAAAGATATCTGCTGTGTCTATGTATCTTCCCAGTCTAGTGGAAAGATATCTGCTGTGTCTATGTATCTTCCCAGTCTAGTGGAAAGTTATCTGCTGTGTCTATGTGTCTTCCCAGTCTAGTGGAAAGTTATCTGCTGTGTCTATGTATCTTCCCAGTCTAGTGGAAAGATATCTGCTGTGTCTATGTATCTTCCCAGTCTAGTCGAGAGTTATCTGCTGTGTCTATGTATCTTCCCAGTCTAGTCGAGGGATGTCTGCTGTGTCTATGTGTCTTCCCAGTCTAGTGGAAAGTTATCTGCTGTGTCTATGTATCTTCCCAGTCTAGTCGAGAGTTATCTGCTGTGTCTATGTATCTTCCCAGTCTAGTGGAAAGATATCTGCTGTGTCTATGTATCTTCCCAGTCTAGTGGAAAGATATCTGCTGTGTCTATGTATCTTCCCAGTCTAGTCGAGAGTTATCTGCTGTGTCTATGTATCTTCCCAGTCTAGTCGAGAGTTATCTACTGTGTCTATGTATCTTCCCAGTCTAGTGGAAAGATATCTGCTGTGTCTATGTATCTTCCCAGTCTAGTGGAAAGATATCTGATGTGTCTATGTATCTTTCCAGTCTAGTCCAGAGATTTATAGTCCAGAAGTTTGATTTTTCTGACCACTAGATGTGCTGCCATGTCTTTTTCTGTGTGCATAATGTATCCATGGTGACGGATAACAACTAATATATCGTGAATGTCAGCTAGTACAAGAAGATTCAAGCCCTGTTCTCCTAATTTTCTCTATCTTATACCTTTTCTGCCTATCACAGTCTGAGGACTGATTCCAGGAATGTTCGTTCACTTTTGTGTTTGGTCCCTTCTGCGGTGCCACTTCCACAAAGACCCTCCTTCCATATTTTGTTCCTTTCTGCGATGCCACTTCCCCAAAATATTCCCTTCCTGCCTTGTTCTCTTCCCTCCCTACTGTGTTCTATTCTGCGGTGCCACCTCCCTAAAGATCTCCCCTCCCGTTCTGAGATGATACTGCACGAAAAATCTCCCCTCCCGTTCTGAGATAATAATGCACGAAAGATCTCCCCTCCCGTTTTGAGATAATTTACCAAAGATCTCCCCTCCCGTTCTGAGATAATACTTCACCAAAGATTTCCGCTCCCGTTCTGAGATAATACTTCACCAAAGATCTCCCCTCCTGTTGTTCTGAGATGATACTGCACCAAAGATCTCCCCATCTCTTTCTGAGATGATACTGCACCTAAGATCTCCCTATCCCTTTCTGAAATGGTACTGCACCTAAGATCTCCCCTTCCTTTCTGAGATGATACTTCACCACAGATCTCCCCTCCCGTTCTGAGATGATACTTCACCAAAGATCTCTAATCCCTTTCTGAGATGATACTGCGCCTAAGATCTTCCCTCCCTATATGAGATGATACTGCACCAAAGATTTCCCCTCCCGTTCTGAGATGATACTTCACCAAAGATCTCCCCTCCCGTTCTGAGATGATACTTCACCAAAGATCTCTAATCCCTTTCTGAGATGATACTGCGCCTAAGATCTTCCCTCCCTTTATGAGATGATACTGCACCAAAGATTTCCCCTCCCGTTCTGAGATGATACTTCACCAAAGATCTCTCCATCCCTTTCTGAGATGATACTGCACCTAAGATCTCCCCTCCCTTTCTGAGATGATACTTCACCAAAGAGCTCCCCTCCCTTTCTAATATGATACTTTACCAAAGATCTCCCCTCCCGTTCTGAGATGATACTTCACCAAAGATCTCTCCATCCCTTTCTGAGATGATACTTCACGAAAGAGTTCCCCTCCCTTTCTGAGATGATACTTCACCAAAGATCTCCCCTCCCGTTCTGAGATAATACTTTACCAAAGATCTCCCCTCCCGTTCTGAGATGATACTTCACCAAAGATCTTCCCTCCCGTTCTGAGATGATACTTCACCAAAGATTTCCCCTCCCTTTCTGAGATGATACTTCACCAAAGATCTCCCCTCCCGTTCTGAGATGATACTTCACCAAAGATCTTCCCTCCCGTTCTGAGATGATACTTCACGAAAGATTTCCCCTCCCTTTTTGAGATGATACTTCACCAAAGATCTCCCCTCCCGTTCTGAGATGATACTTCACGAAAGATTTCACTTCCCTTTCTGAGATGATACTTCACCAAAGATCTCCCCTCCCGTTCTGAGATGATACTTCACGAAAGATTTCCCCTCCCTTTCTGAGATGATACTTCACCAAAGATCTCCCCTCCCGTTCTGAGATGATACTTCACCAAAGATCTTTCCTCTCGTTCTAAGATGATACTTCACCAAAGATCTCCTCTCCTCTTCTGAGATGATACTTCACCTAAGATCTCCCCACCCGTTCTGAGATGATACTTCACCAAAGATCTCCCCTCCCGTTCTGAGATGATACTTCTCCAAAGATCTCCCCTCCCTTTCTGAGATGATACTTCACCAAAGATCTCCCCTCCCGATCTAAGATGATATTGTACGAAAGATCTTCCCTAGCCTTGTGTTCTCTGAGACATATTTTCATGTGTCCACCCAGCAGCTAGCTGTATTGTACAGTGGGTTGCCATGAGGGAATGGCTTGGAGGTGGGCGCCAGCCTCTAGTCTGAACGCAGCTGAGTGAAAAGATATCATGTAAATATGTCCGCCGTCAGACCAGGCAACTTAACACGGGCGCTAACTCTGTAGAATTTCTTAGACTGGCTCCTGGGTCAGGGTTGGGGGGGGGGGGGGGGGGGCTTTGTAAACCTGCTTTGAGGATTCGAACATGAAACCACTGGATCAGGTTTGCTAACTGCTGTACCAGCGCCACCGTGTGCCTGTTATTGAGCACTGGGACATGAGCATGTCAACCTTGTCAGTTGTTTTTGGTGGACAAGAACCACTTTATATACGTCCATGTTTCACGCGCGTGTATGTGCGTAGGCGTGCGTATATGTGATGTTATTATGCGTTTGTTTGCCACCCTTGTGACTCTCCAGAATAACGCACACAGTATAGTGAATTAAAGTAAAGGTCTCTTTTCCACGCCTTTAGGCATATGGGGCTAGACCTATTTTTTTTATAGACCAATCAGCACTCTTTGGATGATGTCAACATCAAGCCCACGACCTTCCGATCCGCACACGAGAGTCCAGCAGCTTCGCCACGGCGACTTCCACACTGTATAGTTTAGTAAAGTATTGTATAGTTTGTACACACCTAAATGAAGACTTTTTTTCAGAACTGACATGTGCAAACAAGAAAATCTAATACCAACAATGCGATCATGAATGTAGCCAGGTCTTTATTGTAACTCTGTTTTACATGTCTAGACTATAGCTGTGTTGCTGTGACCTGTTTAAGAACTGCAACAGCCGAGCGCAATCTGACAGAATGATTACAGTTAACACCGCCATGGAACTGAGAAGCCACGGGGCGCTAATAGCTGGGGTTGATGGCCGATCGTCACGTGTTGAGGTTTTCGTACGTCTGTGGGAGGACAGAGAGTTCTTTTCTATAACCAGCTCCCTTGACCACCTACTGGCTTCCCTTTTAGCCTCCTCTCCGCTTGAGAGATTCCCAGCCCTCGGATCTTTGCACGAACAGTGGCACTGTGCCGGGATGGCTGATGTTATACAAGATGTCTGGTCATCGCCAATGACGTAGCCCGTTGTGCAGGAGCAGAAAAAGGAACCTATTGTGTTGATGCAGATCTGCTGACACGGGGAGGTGTCCAGTAGGCATTCATCAATGTCCTCACACCAGGATCCGTTTGGAGCTGCCTGAAACCCGGCCCTACACTGGCACACGTAGCTGCCGGCCGTGTTGACGCATCCTTGTTGGCAGCTGGTCCCTGCGCTGGCGCATTCATCCACGTCCACACAAGATTGTTGGTCCTGGCCCAGAGTATAGCCCTCCCAGCAGTCACATCGGTGGCTGCCGTCGGTGTTGACACATATCTGTTCACATCCCTGTGTATGCATGGAACATTCGTCGATATCCAGGCACGATCCTGTATCCGCATCCAGTTGGTATCCACCAAAACACTGGCAGATGTAACTGCCATCCACATTGAGGCACACTTGCTCACAGCTGTAGATAGAAATGGAGCATTCGTCCATGTCCTCGCAGGTGGTGTTATCGTTGGATAGTATGTGGCCAGTTGGACATTCACACGTGTAGCTTCCATCAGTGTTGACACATATGTGGCTACATCTGTGAGAACCAATAGAACATTCGTCAGTGTCCACACACGAGGTGTTATCTGCAGCAAGTGTGTAGCCAAGTAAACATTCACACATGTAACTTCCTCCTGTGTTTATACATGTCGACTGGCAGTCATGAAAACTTGTTGAGCACTCGTCCAAGTCGTCACAAGAGTGCCCATCGTTGCCCAGAATGTAGCCCGGCTTACAGGAACAGTTGTAGGCGCCCTGTGTGTTGACGCAAACCTGGTTACAGGTCGATATATTCTCGGAACATTCGTCAATGTCGGCACAAGTGGAGCCTGTTTCTTCAGGGGCGTATCCCTGGCCGCAGAAATAGGTGACTGTTGTAGTCTCCATCTTACTTTTGTTTTCACAACTTGTAATGTTGGTTCCACAATTACGAGAACCTGTAGATTCCATGGTGCTTATTTCTGCGATCTTTGTATTAGTTGCCATCTGACTCACGGATGTGGCCTTTCCCCAGGAATAGGTGGCGTCTGTGCTGGTTGCTTTGAGTGACTCTGTGCTGTTTGTATTGGTTGCACTCTGCCTGATGGAAGTAGCCTTTCCCCAGGAATAAGTGGCGTCTGTGCTGGTTGTTTTGATAGACTCTGTGCTGTTTGTATTGGTTGCATTCTGCCTGATGGAAGTAGCCTTTCCCCAGGAATAAGTGGCATCTGTGCTGGTTGCTTTGAGTGACTCTGTGCTCTGTGTATTGATTGAATTCTGACTGACGGAAGCGGCCTTTCCCCAGGAAAAGGTGGCATCTGTGCTGGTTGCTTTGAATGTCTGTGTAATTTTTGTGTTGGTTGCATTCTGACTGACGGAACTCTCCTGTTCTCCAGAATATGTGGGATCTGTGATTATGGCTCTGCTCATCTCTGCAGACGTTGAAGGGCCTTCATTGAGACTATTAGACTTGCAAAGAAAGTTGTTTGCGGAAGATACACAGGAAGTTTCTTTGAGGTTACTGAAGACAGCCTCAATCCAGTACAGTTTGACACAGCACGCCGGTGGTTCTCGATGACCCCTTCGACAATGACCGTCCGGCCTCAATGACACCACCGACCACACAACTGCTGAGATGGGCTCACTTCTCCACGAGTACTCGGCAAACCCGTCGGCTCCATCCGTGCTGATGACGTCTACGAAGACTCCCCTGAGGGTTCTCATGTTGTTCAGCAGGTAGATCTGGATGTAGCCGGAGACCAGCAGATACTCGGCGTTTGTGTCGAACAGGGCTAAAGTGGCACTGATGTCGGAGCACATTCTCCTGGCTGTCTCCATATCTTTGCTGGTGTTCTTGGATAGCCAGTAGGTGTTGTCTTCTATGGTCAGTTCATCAAAGTCCGACCGAGTCACTGCGGTCCCTAGATCAGCAGCTTGACCTGTAGCAAGAGAGGTCAGAAACAGCAAAGCAAGCATCTAGTGCAGTGGAAAGTAAAACACAAATAATGATCGCAGTCTTAGGTGTGAAAGAAGTAATTAGGGCATCATTAGTTATCTCTATCATTGATCCTAACCCACAGATATGAAATATGAATCTATCCTTCCCAAGCGTAACTTGATATCCTTCCCAGCATTTGGTTGGAGCCCGGTGAGAATGAAACGTCTACATCTGATGGAGACAATAGGACCGGCCTAGGCTTGATCCCAGCCAGTTCCTCTGTGCTGTGCTGACGTGTGACCGAGTTGCATCCTTGTACGTCTCTCAGCAAGTTTCATTGCCGGTATTCCAGGCCCTGATGTTTTTCAAACAACCTTCGATTGGGGGGGGGGGGGGGGCAATCGAGGACTATCTCGACGTCGGGGGAGACAGTGACTGCGACATTAACTTCATTAACTGTGTTAGACACGTGCGATTTCTATTTCATTAACATATCTGGAGTATCTGTCTACGAGAAAACAATTGCCTGCGGTTTTGAATTGTGTTTTAATCGCGACACAGTGGTAGGGACACATATGTCTAATAGTTGTGTTCTCTTTTCGTTTTCCGATTAAGTGGCTGCTTGGTCGAATGGTTAGAACACTGGGTTCAAGTGCGGTAGACCTGGGTTCGAATCCGCATTAGTTAATTTTTTTTTTTACCCCGGACTAAAATAATATCCTCATCTGCTCTGTCGTGGTGACAGCACTAGCCATGTTGCCTTAATATTAAAAAAAAAAAAAAAAAAACAGTAAATGGGTAAACCATTTGATAATTAAATTTGACCATTTCGCATACTTATGATTGCATTGTTAAACTTTCCGATTGCATGGTTACGCTGAAATTTTATAGATTTTCATTTATTTTCATTTAGATTTAGTTATTTCATCTGTGTTGGAATTTTAAGCTGTGCTGTTTACAATGGCGTTCATTTCCTAATTATGGTGTTTTTTTTTCCTGTGTTCATTTGCTTTTCAAGTGTTTTTTTTTCCCCCTCCCAACTACTTCAATGTGGGAAAGAGTTATCGGTGAATTTGGGGGGAGGGGGGGGGGGGGGGGCAAACTATTAACTGAGAGAGCTTTAAGTCACAGTAACTGCTTTACCCACTTAAAGTAGCAGCAGCAGTAATAGTTGTGGTTGGGCTGTTACACCATAGTGCTCTCATGTGAAGACCGCCGGTAAGGTTATGGCGTTCTTCTGTCGGCAAGTGAAATTATACATCCTAACCTGACCAGTCTGTGGCGACAGCACTAGCCATGCGGAACCAAATCTTCTGGCTCACGACTCTCTGTCTACTCCGATGGTAACACAGATAGCAGTGACATTATTTTAGTAGTTGTACTGGTACTTGAAGGATGATGTGGTAAATATTTCACTAGCCCTATTCACTACCTTTTACAATTCCTGCTCCTTATTTTAGTCCAGATGGACAGGGATGTCAATGTCAGTTACAGCAACAACAAAATATCGCCAGTTAGTGATTTTCAAATTCTTCGAAGAGGGAGAGAGCAGTAGTCGGTGGAAGAGGGGAGGGGAGGGGGTAATGACTTAAATTTAAGAGAACTTAAAGAGCTTTACACGTGATTTTCAAGTTCTCATTACCTAATTTGTTTATATTTTACTAACGCTACCTTCGCTTTTCTATTTTTTACGACTTACTTTGTTATTTACAAGTACAGTTGTAGCTTTACTTCCGTCTCCTATAAAAATACAAACAGCTTTAGCATGTGATAACCAAATAACCACATGGGCAGCTATATGTGGCCTGTTCACGCGTCGGAAAACCTTCTGTACGCACCAGACGGCAGAACAAAGAACATTGTTTACCCAAAAGCACTTCAGTAAACACATTTTTAATGTTAAATTACCGGCACAATGATCCAATATAATTACATTTTGTTAAAGCGATTTTCCTTTCAATTCACTTTCTATTGTAGCAACGCGTGCAGGGTTGTTTACAGCAATTAGCAAATGTGCTCATTTCGTAATTATGGTGTATTTTTCCTCTTTTCATTGCATTTCCCTAGGGTAATTTTTCCAACTACTTCGATGAAGGAGAAAGTAGTATGTGAACTGGGGGATGGGTGGTTACAATAAATTGTTTACTGAGATAGATTTAAGTTACAGTAACTGCCTAACCCACTCAAAGTTTTATTAGCTGTGGTTTAGCTGTTGCACTGTACATCGCTAGCGTGAAGCGAAGACACATTTCTATGTTCTCTATTTTCCATGTAGCCAAATTACGCCACAGCAACGCGTGGCCGGGTACAGCTAGTATATATTTATATATATATATATATATATATATATATATATATATATATATATATATATATATATATATATATATCTGCCTGTTCATCTATCCTTCTGTCTGTCTACCTTTCTGTCCATCTATCCATCCATCAATCTATCTGTCAGTCTGGCTGGCTGTTTATCTATCTCGATGTGTGTCAGCATGTGTATGTATCTGTACCTGTCTGCGTATCCGTTGGTCAGGCTGCCTGACCGTATGTCTGTATGTCCATTTGTTTGTCTTTATATCCGTCCGTCCCTCCATCCATCTGTTTGTCTTGGTGCCCATTTTCCCTAGCCGATATTTCAGAGCCTCTTAGTGGCTGTCTGTCTGTCAGTCCGTCCGTCTATGTGCCCGACAGTGTGTATGCTCACGTGTCATCCTACCTGTATAAATGAAGAAAGAAATCGGAAGTGGTTGAACAGGCACCATTTACGCAGTATGAATTGACATAGTGTTTGTAAAGCAACGAATCAAACTCACTGAGTAGAACCAGTACAAGAAATGCCGTCCGGTGTTCTAAGGTCAGCATCATCATCATCTAGTCGCTTGTCGGCACATCCATACAGAACATGCACCACGACGGTATAGAACAGTCCAACTAGTGAGCGTCTCTAGGTTTTTATAGCTGTCCTCTGTTTGAGACCGGATCAGCTGATTACCCATTCCCTCAGTTAACGGACAACTGCTGAGTGTGTGTGCTGAGTGTGTGTATGTGTGTGTACGTCTGTGGTGTGGGTTACCCGTCGCAGATGGGTGGACTGATAACGAGAGCCAAGTCAGTTCTGGGGACGTCCTTGAGTGTTTCTCAAATCTATGTCCTTGTTAACGCTCCTGATGGAGAAGCCACATCTTGTAGTGCCATCAACAAATAGTTTTCCCATTGTACATACCTGGCCACTTTTCCTGTGTTTGTCTTCATAGTTATCTGTTTGTCTGTTCTGGTTTAACATCATAGTCTTCTGTTTGTCTGCTCTGGTTTAACATCATAGTTATCTGTTTATCTGCTCTGCTTTTATATTTGCTCGGTGCAATGAATTGCGTAGATTTGCAGGGGATGAATGAATGTCATTGTTTGGTTGTTGGCATCTTATTGATGCAGTTCAGGAGTAGAGATGATAGCTTGCTCCATCAGATAAGGAAACGGTTCAGCATCCCCTTCTGTCGTCACTTTTTGGACCGGATACAAGAGATGACACAGTCAACAGATCACCCTGGTGTTGCCAGGACAACTCACAGTTGACGTTCATTAGCTGCTGGGGTCAGCTAAGGAATCTCCTTACCTTCACTATGTGTGGTCACAGATAAAAATATGTGTGTGTATATATACATATATACACCTTCACTCTGTGTGGTCACAGATAAAAATATGTGTGTGTATATATACACCACCTTCACTCTGTGTGGTCACAGATAAAAATATGTGTGTGTATATATACACCTTCACTCTGTGTGGTCACAGATAAAAAATATGTGTGTGTATATATACACCTTCACTCTGTGTGGTCACAGATAAAAATATGTGTGTGTATATATACACCTTCACTCTGTGTGGTCACAGATAAAAATATGTGTGTGTATATATACACCTTCACTCTGTGTGGTCACAGATAAAAATATGTGTGTGTATATATACACCTTCACTCTGTGTGGTCACAGATAAAAATATGTGTGTGTATATATACAACTTCACTCTGTGTGGTCACAGATAAAAATATGTGTGTGTATATATACACCTTCACTCTGTGTGGTCACAGATAAAAATATGTGTGTGTATATATATACACCTTCACTCTGTGTGGTCACAGATAAAAATATATGTGTGTATATATACATATATACACCTTCACTCTGTGTGGTCACAGATAAAAATATGTGTGTGTATATATACACCTTCACTCTGTGTGGTCACAGATAAAAATATGTGTGTGTATATATACACCTTCACTCTGTGTGGTCACAGATAAAAATATATGTGTGTATATATACATATATACACCTTCACTCTGTGTGGTCACAGATAAAAATATGTGTGTGTATATATACACCTTCACTCTGTGTGGTCACAGATAAAAATATGTGTGTGTATATATACACACACATACATAAATATATAATAACATTCTTATCAGTGACCACCCAGAGTGTGTGTGTGTGTGTGTGTGTGTGTGTATATATATATATATATACATATATACACCTACACTCTCTGTGGTCACTGAAAAAATGTTTATATAATATAAGATTTGTTTACATTCCATCATTCTAACACACGCATCCGTCATAACAAGCTAGTCAGTGTTAGAACTCAGTAGTCTTAGGCCGTGAGCTCTACAGAAAAGACACTTCAGGTGTGTTATGTCAGAGACAATGATGAGTCCCAAAGGAACAGAGGCCAGTAGCATTGCAGACACGCCCATTGTTGCTGAAACGAGGCGGTTGTCAGGGACGCTAAACGTTGCTCGTCTGAACCTGGAGGTGTTTCGCTTGTCTAGCAACAGACCGTCTCTCATTGTACGGCTCATGTTTTCTGGGCTGCTGAGGTTTTGGGGGGTCGGTCTGACACACGGACAGGGGCACTGATTGGTGCTTTCTGTAGAGATGGTCAGTTCCACACACGATTGATTGGTGGTCAGTATGTGTCTGTCCTTACAGCCACAGGTGAATGATCCGTCGGTGTTGACGCAGACTTGTTGGCAGACGTTGCTGGAGTTAAGGCATTCGTTGATGTCCAGACAGGTGTTGTTGGCAAGAGTGTACCCCTGAGGACATTCTAGCGTGTTGTTGGCTACTGTTTGCACGCATCGGTAGGTACATACCTCACTCTCGGAGCTGCTGTTGTTAGATTTCTGGCAGGAATTCCCGTCCGAGACCAACTGGTAGCCTTCCTGACAGCCACATGTGTAACTCCCGACTGTGTTAGCGCATGCGTGCCGACAGACGCCAGGGGTGCTACATTCGTCCTGGTCTGCGCAAGAAACGCCGTCGTCGTTCAGCTTGTAGCCCTCAAAGCATCCACAAGAGGAGTTTCCGTTGAGATACTTTTGCTGACATGCAGGAGCGATGGACTCGTCCATAGACAGACATGATCTCATATTTGCCGCTAGACGATAGCCGTCTCTACAGCCGCACCTGTAGCTGCCAGGTTGATTGACACACGTTTGCTGGCAGCCTCCATTGTCAGACAGACACTCGTTGACGTCAACACAAGTTATGCCGTCAGCAGTCGGCGTGTAGCCGACGTAGCAGCTGCAAGACATGGGCGATACCGTACACGTTTGTTGACACTGTGGCAGCAGAATGGAGCACACGGCAACTTCTAGGTTGCACGACCTTAAATCCGTGCCAAGTATGAAGCCGGTCGAACAGGAACACTGAAAACTACCGTTAGTGTTAGTACAGATATCGCTGCACATCGTTTGGTTCGCTTGGCATTCGTCGACATCACTACATGACCTGTTGTCTCTTCCCAGAGTATATCCTTCATAGCAGCTGCATTTATAACTGCCAGCCGTGTTGGTACAGATCTGTTCACAAGCAGTAGGGGTTGCACACTCATCGATATCCAAGCAGTTTGTCGCGTTTAGCAAATACCCGTCCAAGCACTTACACCGGAAACTGCCTGCCACGTTGACACATATTTGATGACAGGGCTGAAGAACATCGCACTCGTCCACATCCGTGCAGGAATGGTTGTCTGTAGCAAGGGTATAGCCAGTATGACAACTGCAGTGGATACTTCCATTGTCTTCAAAGCAGATCTGTTCACACACACCCTTCGACTTGGCACATTCTGCGCTGACACCGGTGCAAGAGTGTTTATTGTTAGTCAGTCTGTAGCCCGTCTGGCAACCACAGACGTAGGAGCCTGCCGTGTTGTTGCAGATCTGCTCGCAAGGACTGGCTAGGCATTCGTTCACGTCCTCACAACTGAAACCATTGTCCGCCAGCATGTAGCCACTGTGACACAGACACTCATACCCTCGCTGGTCGTTATCTGTACACTTATGTTCACACGACACGTTGCTGCCCAGACAGGCACTGGGGAACTCACATAGAAACCTGGAGGATGTATTGCAGTTTTTGTCTTGAAGACTTCCCCACACCTGTGCCGTGTTTAGCACCTGCACACAACACCTGCCTACAACATCCGCAGAGTCACTGGCAGTGCTGCTCACAGCCCAGAAACTCGCATTAACACTTTCAGATTCCCACCCTGGTCGAGCCGCCGACTGGTTGGTCACGTCTGTGCAGATAACATCGATCCAGACATCATGAACTGTCATACCTTTAGCACTAGACTTCTTATTGAGGAAGTCCAGAACCGTTGCATACTCTTCGTTTGAGCTGAACAGTGCCAAGGAACCCTCGGCTCTAAGGCATGAATTCCTGGCTTGGCCGTGGTCCGCTGTAACGTTGGACAGCCAGTACACCTGGTTCTTGTGTGAGACAGCCAGGGGCTTCAGTTCTTCTGAGGCAACCTTGGTTGTTGTGTGGATGCCATCCACAGTTGTTGTGTGGGTGCCAGCCTCAGTTGTTGTGTGGGTGCCAGCCCCGGTTGTTGTGTGGGTGCCACCCTCGGTTGTTGTTTGATTGCCAGCCACAGCTAATGCATCTGCAAGAGAGGAAACCGTTTATTTTAGTTAGGATCATTAGAGCTGGATGAGCACTGGCTAGCTAGTACGGTAGTCATAGGTTTGAATCCATGGGCTAAGAGATGGACCCGGCGTTAACATGGCCACCAGGAAACGGTATGTCAGTTACCGCAGTAGCCACCTCGTGCCGGTTGGGCCTTGCGCATATCGGACTAGTACTAAGTGTACATCATCATCATCATCCTCAGGTGTCTTGCCGACTGGCGTGGGCAATCATGCCTCTCCACAATCCGATACCACCACAATGTCTATCATTTGCTGTGTTCTTGCTGACTCGTTGCTATCAAGACTGTGTCATCAGCATACGTAAATTGGTTATATTATGACCATCAACCTCAATTACGGAAATATCAAGTAAAGATCTAATTATATTTTTACTGTTGTTAGTTCTTATAGCTGCGGTTAGTTCTTATAGCTGTTGTTAGTTCTTATAGCTGCGGTTAGTTCTCATAGCTGTTGTTAGTTCTTATAGCTACGGTTTGTTGCCAAAACATATTCTTTATTATTCGTATAAATTTCACATCAATGTTTAATTTTTCTAAAAGTTTGATTACTTCTTCATGTTTCACACAGACAAATGCTTTTGTATAGTCTTTGAGGCATAAGTACACAATCTGTCTTTACTTCTATAGCTCTTTCCGACAATATCCTTAGGATGTGTATGGAATTGTTTGTACTTTTTCCTTCTATAAATCCACATTGCTCATAGCTAATTTCTGGTTTAATTTTGTTTCTTATTTTTCTTATAATTATTCTCAGTAACATAACAAAACTGCTCCAGGCCCTGACGGCATCCGATACAACGACATGCTGATGATGTCGAATGCTGATTTGAAAAGCGTGGCAAAAGAATTCAATATCAGCATCCAGAGTGGCCAGATACAAGAGGAATGGCTCCATAGTTATTTGTTTCCACTACCAAAGCCTAATAAAGACCACTCGAAAATCTGCGGCTACAGAATCATCTCGATGCAGAATACTGTTGGCAAACTTTTGGAAAAAATTGTCGCACAAAGATTGACCACCTACTTGGAACTACATGATAAGTTCCCACCAACACTTGGAGGGTACAGGTTAAATAAAGAGACATGGTTCAATGCTGCAGTTTTCGCCTACGATGTGTACGAGGGATTTTCAGAATAAAGAAGAGACATGTGCGGCAGTGTTGGACTTAGAAGATGCCAACAATAAAGTACCATACGATTATTTAATGCAATTACTGCTTAAACTAGAAGTTAATCCTATTCTGATCCGCTGGATTGCTGCGGTCCTGTTCCAGAGAAAGATTGTACTAAGATGTGGTAGCTGGTCCTCCGAACCGCAAACGATATGTCCAGGCTTGCCACAGGGATCACCGCTATCACCAGTCTTATTCAACGTTTACACGGTGATGATCACTGAGCAGCAGTTGAATGGAAAGGGAAGGACTTTCTCATTTGCTGATGACATTTTGATTTATCGACGAGGGCGTGACAGACAGGAGATCGCCAGCACTATGCACAAAGAACTCGATCGAATTGCCGCCTGGTGTGATGGTTCCAATGCCTATGTCAATCCTTCGAAGGCATCAGTGTCATGGTTCCCTTTGAACAATCACATTGTCAAGTCGGACTTACCAGAAGTGAAAATGCGTGATAATGTATTGATCAGAACCAACGTTATGACGTTTCTCGGGGTGAGGTTCGATCGCAGCTTGTCATTCAGGGAACACGTTGACCATGTGATAACAAAAGCACGCAAAGGTCTATCTGCAATGAGGATTATGGCTGCTTCCAATATTGAGCAAAGACTACTAATACTTCTATTCTACGGTCTGGTCCTTGCCCCCATTGAATACGCTCTGGCCATCCTCACTGTCAGTGCTACCCAGATTGAACGACTCGAAAAGGTGCAAAATGAAGCCATGCGCATTATTTTGGGATGTACTAGAGACACATCCTGTGGAGCAATGAGGTATCTACTTGACTTTCCAACAATGAACCAAAGGATCAGGATGTGGAGGGCTCGGGCATATCTCAAAATATGCGCTGATAAGAAAACACCCACTGCATCAAGCGCTTTTTAGTGAAAAGGGCGACAGACTGAAGAGGGGGAAATCGTGGCTAGGTCGGGCAGAAGATGTTATTAGGCAAATATGCAGCCTAACCGACATCATACCTGGTGCAGAATGGATACCTGTGCCTCAGGCGTTTATTTGTACATTTTCCTGTATTGTCACACTCAACAGGCGATGTAGAGAAGAGAATCCTGTTGCTGTTAATGCAGAGGTCAACGCTCTCATCGGTGAAAATTCAGACGAAGCAGATGCAATAATCTATACAGACGGATCCGTTATACGCCAAAGAAGAAGCGCATGGGCATTTACAGCACGCTCAGCGGGGCAGAACAGTCAAAGAAGCCAACGGCGCCTTCTCCATGACAACCAGCAGCATGACGATGGAAGTGATGGCAGTGACACAAGCGCTTGCCTGGCTTGAAACACAAAAATACACCCGCGTGTGTATACTCAGTGATTCAATGAGTATGATCCGGAGGGTTCAGGCAGGTTCAGTGCGAAGACAATGGCTTGAATCATTACAGAAGTCCACTGTTCGTGGAGTCACCTTTATTTTTGTTCCGGGACACGCAGGCGTCAATGGAAATGAAAGAGCTGACAGGTTGGCTGGATCCGCTATCACTACCGACGGTCAGCCTATGGATCATGCTGATATTATCAATGCCCTCAGAGAAATGAGAAGAATAGAGGACTTTGGTGGCAGTGAATCCACATCACTCGCCAGAATGGCAGACTTGGGAATTAAGATTGGCACAGCAAAAAACGAGACGCACACCAGCTACGCCAGAAGACTTGTTAATCAACATAGAACTGGTACTATTAGCCATCGGACGTTGGGGTTCATACTGAGGGGAGGATCTGAGCACCTATGGACATGTCCGGAGTGCAATGAGGATAACCCAACTAACTAACTAACTAACTAACTAATAACAAAACTGCCATGGAGAAGGAAATATATGTTAATGAGGAAAGATTGGAAGTGGTGGAAAATTTCGAATATCTTGGGTCACTGGTTACCAACAATGGTGACACAATGAAAGAAATTAAACGGCGACTATCAATTGCTCTTCAAAGACTAAAACAACTGAATAAATTATGGAATTGTACAGATAGAATTACAAAGGTCAGATTTTTAAGAGCATGCATCTTTCCCATTGCAACATACGCCTGTATGACGTGGACACTTACTAAACAAGCGGAACAGCGCATAAATGCATTTGAATATAAATGTTACAGACAGGTTCTAAGAATATCTTAGGTAAAGAAAAGAACAAATGCATCCATACTTCAAGAGCTGAATATTGAAGAGGGTTGGCTAGTAAAGACAATAAAACAAAGAAAATTGAAATATTTTGGTCACTTGAAACGTCATGGAAGTCTAGAGAGAACAATAATGGAGGGGTATATGCCTGGGAAGAGAGGAAGAGGAAGGCCAAGGAGAAGATGGGTGCAGGATGTGGCAGATGATCTCCAGATGGGTGTATCAGACGCAGGACATCTTGCTCAGGATAGGAAGGTTTTCCGGAGGGTTGTTATGGCAGCGAGGTTCCGCGAGGGACATGCTACTGAATGAATGAATGAACATATCAGTCATGTGACTCATAAGACTTATTTTGCGATGGTCTTCACATTTTAAAGTGCCTGGTTTCTTTGGCAGAGCTATAAATAAGGAGTTTTAAAGGTCGTTTGGTATGTACCCACTATT